CTGTTTATTCTCTGTAACTTTTTTTTTTATTTCAGAAGGCATGTACCTTGCTTTCTGCCCTCTGAGTAGCAGGGCTTTGCCTGCTTCTTTGCACAGCAAGGATCTTTAGAATCTTCAGGAATAAGCTGCATCTCCAAGAAACCAGGGAAGCCTTTGAGAGACCTCAGGGTGGAACCCAAGCCCGCCCCTTAGCATGTTGTTTGTTTAGGTTTGGGGGTTCAACTTCATCTTAACTTACATCTTACATGCCAAATCAGCACCGGTTTCTGTCCTAGTCCTCCCCACCCCCACCACTGCTTCAGAGAAAGCACACAGCTAAGAAAACAATTCTCCCCACCACCTAATCTTAAAAGGACAATGTGTGTTTTCCATTTGGGAATCTGAAATTAATTTTTAAGTGAGTTTTTGATAGACGTTAAGGCCCCAGTATGTTGTAGAAATTTTTAATCTCAACCTAGGGTTTAAATACCTCTGTTTCCACCTGGCTAAATGAGCTCTCTCATTGAAGCCTGTCTTCCAGGAGTATTCTCAAAGCACTCACAGCTGCTTGAGCACTCTCTCTCTCTCTCTCTCTCTCTCTCTCTCTTTCTCTCTCACACACACACACACACACACACACAAGCACATCAGCCATTCCCCCCATTACAGGTAGGGGAGAAGCAGAGTGGGAACAGCACATATTCTGTGGCTCAGGAGTGGAGAGCAGATGATAGGCTGGAGACAGGAGCTTCTGGGACAGTGCCAGTGAAAACCAGCCCAGGACTGGATCATCATTGTGATTTCAGGTATAGGAAAAAGGAATGTCTTCTGTTGGTCTGGTCAGAGAGTCCAATAGGGGTAGAGACAAAGAAAGGACACAAGGCCACCTGGGGCTTATGTTCTCTGTAGCTGGAAAAAAGAAAATGCTGTCTGCTGATGTGGAAAGGTCAGTTGGATAACTTTTTAGAAGGAATGTTAAGGAGTAGGTATGGGGCTGTGTTGAATCTGAGCTGTTCTAGAGAAGTCTGTGTGAAGGCCTGGAGTGTAGGTCTGCACAAATGTCTAGAGAAGTTCAGGACCAAGACTCCAATTAAGGACCAATGGGGATTTGGTGATGTGTATGTGGATAGAAGTAGAAGTTGGTTTCTCTTAGGAAAGGAAGCATTCAGAGGAGGGTGGCAGTGGTGCTAAGAGCAAGGAAGGGGACGGTCCACTTAGCAAGACTGGACTCATCTCTCAGACTGAGATGGCTGTCACGAAGATAGATGAGGTTAAGTCATGTTCATAAGGGTTAGAACTGTGTTTGGATTGGGACCAAGGTTGCCAAGAGACACTGGCCATGGGATGGGTATGGAATCAGAACAATGGAAAAGGTTGGTGACAGTGGGTCAAGTGTCAGTGATTCAGGTGACTGTGAGGCAGGTGACTAACTGTGACACAGGTGATGCTGATGCAGGTGAGTAACTGTGAGGCATGGGGCAGTCAACCATGGCCTTGTACCTGCAAGCATTCCTGGGACTGTTGTGGTGACCCTGGGTGAGACGTGGAGATCTGCACTTGGGCTGGTACATAAGCTGATGGGTAAATAAGAGAATTACTAAAGGCTGTGGGACCAAAGAAACTGAGCTCCTTTGACATTACTATTTTCTTGTCCTATGCACTGTTGGTGTAGCGAAGGGTCACCTTGTGATGTTGCACTGTCTTCTGAGTAGGACTTGTACCTTCCAGGAATCACCTACTTGTCCAGCTGAAGCTGAAGGAACAAGCGTGGGTGAGTGACAAGGTAGATGTGACACTAGGGGACTAGTTCCTGCAAGGAAAGAGTGGCTCCATGGAAGGGCTGGGTTGTGGTTGGTACCAGGAACCTCCCAATTGCCCACTAGTGTGTTTTTTCCAAGGACAGGACCCATGATTCAATCTGTTCCTTCATCTCCTGTGGGGGTGATATTTAGAAAGCAGCACCTTGTCCAGCTTGTTCCCGGGAAGCCACCATGTTCCCACTGCTCCGTGGCTCTGACTGGGGCTCCAACTAGCTAGATGTGCAGGCCCTGGCACCCATGAGATGCCAGCATCTGGGGTGGCTCTGCCAGTCCCCCATACTGCTTCCACAATGCTTGAGGAATTGTGACAATGTCTGCCATCCTCACATTAGCTGGTAGAAATGAGACTCTTAAAGCTTAATGATTATCTAAAGGATTTATGTATTTAGAAATGCTCAATCAACAAGATGTCCACAGAATTAGAGTTGTTTCCCAATATCTAACCTTTTGATAGAAGTTGCTACCCAGGACAGCTTTCCACCCGTCCATGGTTCTCCATGGCTGATAGCCTCCTTCTTCTCCTCCCCTTCCTCTTTTTCTCCCCTTCATCTCTTTCTCTTCCCCCTCCTCTCTTTCTCTCCCAGCTCCATCTTTCTACCGCCTAATAACAGAGCTTCACTGTGAATAAAACGTAGCAGAAAGAGTATCCTGCTATAGTCTCCCATAAGGTACATTTTTTTGTCTTGCCCTTCCATATTTGGCTTTGACTGTTGTTTGGTTTCTGAACCAAGGAAAAGGGACTGAGGTGCATATTTTACATATGAAATTAGACCTGTCATTCAGGTTCACCCAGCATCCTTTCCTGGCATGCCCTGCCCCTAACCCTAAACTTTTCAGCTGTGCTACCCTTCCCCAGAGGCTCACCCCTATATAACCCAGGTATTTTGGTCTCCTCCTTCCTTCTTCTCTCTCTTCTTCTCCTTCTCTTCTCTCTACACATAGAAGAGCCCTTTCTCCCTTTATCTCCTGCTCCCTCTCCATGGTGACTTCCCTGGCCTGAGTCCTTAGGGCCAGTGAGTTCACCTGAGAGCAGCTTCCCAATAAACCTGTATTTAATATAGTCTAAAGTGGCTTGAATTGGCCGGCTTCAGTGACAGAGAAATAACTTATCAGCTTGGGCTAATCAAACGTCTCTGACTCATTCCTTTCCATCACTCCCTCGTTTGCAATGGGACCATTGTAAATAAAGCTGCTCTGAGCATTGACCTGTTCCAATCTTCTGTGTGTCAATCAAAGGCCTGCATGTCTCATTTCTACATGTGAGACTTTACTTCTAGACATGATGGCACAGGAAGAACATGTGTATTTACATGACCCAAGAGAAGGCAAACGTGCCATGCCAAACAGAGCTATGTGTGAGAGACCAGTGTTGATCGAGAGAGAAAAACAGGAGGAGGAGGAGATCTCACCCTTTGCTTGGGGATTCCATGGGCACAGAAAACTGTCTTAGAATTTCCTGGTTTGGATAATCCCAACAGGTTTCAGATTCAGGACCATGTCAGGTCCTGAAATGGTATTTTGGAAAGATACTAGAGTGGTTGTTAAAAGTTGGAGATGGTCTGTACACTCAGGATTCATTGGAATGCCTGTGACAGCTTTGTCCCTGGGGAGGAGGACATTCAGTCTTCCTAAAAACCACCCATCCTTCCCTAGGAAGCCTTAGGTGTTGTCATGTCACATCAGGAAGCAGGTAAATAGAGTAACATCTCCATGCTTGTCAATCTTACACACTGAGCAGTGTTTCCTGTTTGTATGACTTTCAGTCCCTGAGCTTGTCCACCAGCACTTGCTCTGTTCAACTTGTCTTCTCAATTTCTGCTATTATACAGAATAAGACTTGTGCTATTATGCTGTATGTCCATTATAACTAATGGAGTTCATCACTTTTCTTTACACTGCTTGCCATTCCTCTCCCTTTTAGCTGTGTGGCTGCTGTTTTGTGTGTTTGAGGGAGAGCAGGCATGCACATACCACAGTGTGTGCATGGTCAGAAGACAATCCTCACCCATGATTTAGGACAGGTCTCTGGCAGTTTAACTTTGTGGACTGCCAGACTTACTGATCTAAGAACTTCTTGGAATTCACCTGTCTTCATTCATCTGTCAACAGGAGCACTAGGACTACAGACACATGCTGCCAAGTCTGGCTTTACACGGGTTCTGGGAGTCGAACTCAGGTCCCCAATAACACACAGGAGCACTCTATCCACTGAACCTTCTTTTTCCTTTCACTGTACATCAACTCTCATCTCTTTCCCCATTAAAGTGTTTGGTTTATTATTAAGTTTTACTTCTCTTTTAAAGGTCTCTTTTTTTATTTCATGAATATGAGTACACTGTCCCTGTCTTGAGACACACCAGAAGAGGGCATCACAGATAGTTGTGAGCCACCATGTGTTTTTTGGGAATTGAACTTAGAAGCTATGGAAGAACAGCCATCTCTTAACTGCTGAGCTATCTCTCCAACACCTTGGTTTTGTTTTTGAGGCAGGGTTTCTCTATGTAGAACTGGCTGTCCCAGAACTTCCTATGTCAACAAGTCTGTGACAAATGATGACTCTCACAAGAAAACCAAGAGAATCTGAGAAGCACCCATGTGATCCCTGAGTTACTCCACTGCTATAACTGGACATAAGGAACCCACAGTCTTGTGATAAAGCCTGGAGTCAACACATGAGGTGAGTGTCTGTGCACCTCCTTTGTCCTGCCAGCCTGGTGAAGCCTGAGGCTGCTTACATGCTATTTGCCCTCAGGCAACCCCAGTCTCCACAGTCTCATGCAACGGCGGTAAACTGAACATGAAGGCTCACACCTACAATCCCAGCACTCGGGAGGAAGACACACATGGATCTCTGTGAGTTCCAGGCCAGATTGGTCTACAGAGCAACAAAAAGAGAAGGGTGCAATGGCTCTCCCATGATCACCTGGCTAGTCAGGGGCAGTCACCCTGCTCTGAGTGACCACACGAGTCATTTCTCTCACAGTCTCCTGGACCCTCTGAAGACCTCACAAGATTCTCATTCAGCACAGAGACGGGGCACGGAACAGAGCTGCAAGCATTTATTAGAACCAGCCTGAGAGACTGAAGGAGGGGGGCACAGGTGTCAGGAATCCAACTTCAGGAGAGAAAGAGGGAAGGTCTGCAAGATAGCTCTCGGATCAGACATGTTGCAAAGATGGGTTGCCTAAAATCCATTAACTTCTAATGCTCTAACTTAGCAAGCTTCTCCTTAATTTTTGACATGATATCTTCACTATAGTATTGCACACATTCCTTACTGGCGAGCATGGATTCCTGGAAAACAGAAAGACAGACAGAGACTGAGGTGGTTACAGGCAAAGTGTAGGACCTCAGCAGGGCTCCCCAGGCACCCAGGATGAGACCATTCCTCATCCACAGGAGAAAAAATCTCCTGGAATGATTCAATATCCAGCAACAGAATCTGCCTCAAGGGAACTGGAAACCACCCTCAGCCTTCAGGAGGAATCCTGAAAGCTGCCATAGCCAGGCAGGGGAGAAGAGGAGAAGGTTCTGGAAGGTATAATGGGGGCTAGGTCTAGAGAGGGACAAGATAGCTGAGTATGAGTTTTGGTGATGTCATCCATACCTGAGGGCGTGTCTCCAGGCACATTGGCTGCCTGGCCATGTTAAAAACACATTTCCCCTTGTGGGCTTGTTAGAGGAAATTCCACTGTAGTTTGCAGGACCTGACATTCAAACTAAAACTACTTTGGGAACTAAGGGGAGGTCTGCACTCTTCAAACTATTCATCTCTGCAATCCAGATATGATTGAAACAAGAGACATCAGGAGGCAGCTGTAGTGAACAGCTACAGACACTCTTGGGGTTGGGGTGGCATGTCAGATATGGAGGGAGGTTCTGGCCGTAGCTCAGATGATGCCAGCAGAAGGGAGATTCATCTGAGGCAGGGGAATAGACTCAATGGAGGTTCCAAAGACTCTGGGCAGTAGACAGAAGTTTCAGGCATCTTAGAGTAGAGCTGGGGTACCATACCTGTACAGAGGCAAGACCAAGGACTCCCCTGTTCCTACTATGGGTGAGAACCTCATGTTTACCCAGCATGTGGGAGTTAAGTGCAGGAATGTGCTTGAAACAGGCTGGATGTGTACCTGGCATGCTGCATTGACATGTGCGAGGGTGAGCAAGGGTTTGAATTTTCAGTTGCTGGTCACATGACATGAATTAATGGTTGTATTGATGATGAGAGAACAAGACATCAACCATTTGCTGCAAGGGCAGTTAGAGGGAGGGAGGACATTACCAAAATTTTGGGTTCCAGGAATACGTTTTTTGTGTGTCCGTCTTTGTAGCAGTCCTGGACTTTTTCATAGGCCGCCTTTTCCCCCGCAGTGCCATTGAATGCAGCAAGTTCGTGATATAACCACAACCTGCTTCCAGAGATAACACCCGCAAAGCCAGCGAAGAAAGGAACACAGGCTTCCGCTGTAAACACACACAGAAAAGTGACATTAAAAGACCATGGGAGGGGTTGTGGATTTGGCTCAGTGGTAGGGCTCTTGCACAGCAAACACCAGGCCCTGGGTTCAGTCCTCAGCTCTGGAGAAAAAGAAAAAAAGAAAAAGAAAAAGACCACAGGCTGGTAGAAGCAGCTGAATCTAAAAATGCCCTTTCTCATAGTCCTGTCCTCCCAAAAGATGTAGCCTCCGAGATACAACATAGTTTCCATGAGACAAATATTTCTAGGAAAAAAAAAAAAAAACAGGAGTGGACAGGCCTGGATATCTGACCTTCAGGAAATCCACACACTTGCCTCAGCTTCAACTGTGCATCTACAGGCCCTTTATCATGAGTGTCATCAAAAGCACACCTCCGTCTCCGTGTCCTACCCACAAAACTGTTGTCACCCTGAGCAGAAAGCATCAGTGGTCTTCTAAAGCTCCTCGCCAGTGGCCTCCCAAGAACCCCTAGATCTATCTCAGGGTCACACTTAGAGATCTACATGAGACTGAGATGGGTGAGCGAGGGTCCCGCTCTCACTTGTCTGGAAGCCCAGCTCTCCAATCACCAGCAAGGCCAGCAGAAGAAGTGTCCCCTTCATGGTGGAGAGTGCTAAATGCTCTTCTCAGAGCGGATCCTCCTCCTTATAAACCACTGTAGCCCTGAGCCCAGCCACGCCCACCCCCAACCCTGCCTCCCAGGAGCTCCAAATACATTTGATCAAGAACCTAGCATCTGTGGATCCCCTTCTAACTTGCATAGAGGAGGGTACATGGAAGCCCCTCCCAATCTGAAGAACAAACAGCCTGGGACAGCCTGATGTCATCTCATTCGGAGAGAAGTCCTTTGTATGTACCTTAGCCAAAGAGGGGTTAGAGCTGACCTTTGTAAGCAGCCCGAGTGCTGAGCCAAATGCCCTGTGGTCCTGTCCCTCTTGTCACCTCTGCTTCCTGGTCACTCTCCTCACCTCTCCTGGCTCCAAACCTAAAAGCTGCTGAGGACTTTGGATTGGAAGCTGAGGACATGGAGGCACCATCTCCCATTGATGACTCTCAGCCAGGGTAGACCCGGCTGTTTGGCCATGTGGGCATCCTCGGGGGCTGGTGATGGTTTTGTACCACAAATTCTGCTTCACTCCACAGTAGCTCATTCCTGTTGTCCTGCTCACCTTGTCCCCTCTCAGCTCTGTCAGTAAGCACGTCTCAAAGAAGTTTGAACAGCAGAGTCCATGTGGTGAGAACAGTGAGCAGTAGAGTGAGGGACTCACCCCTGTACATGGACTCTCTGTTGTCCACAACACCACAGGCTACTGTGAACTGCCTGGCTGTAAACTACACTGCTCCACAGGCCACAGGCAGTGCTGTGTGTAAACAGTCTCAACTTCAGACCAACCTACTTACCCTAAGGAAGACATTTTCAACACAAATGAGAATGTCAGCTGGGTGTTGTACTACTCATTTCTCGAGACAGGAAGCTCTTAAATGCAAACTCAGCCCGCTTGCAGTGTGTGATGGTTAATCTTGAGGATCATCCTGACCGGGTTGAGAGTTGCCATAGAAACAGAGCTTTGAATGGGCATTTTTAGGCTCGGTCAATTGATGTAGGAAGATTGACTTTCATGTGGCAGTGTGGACCATGATCATAGACGGGGTTGAAAGGGGAAAACAAGCTGAGCACAACCATTCATGCCTCTCTCCTTCCTGTTTGTAGCTGTGACCAACCACCTCCAGTGTCTGCACTGTGCCTAGCTCACTGTGATGGACTCTGTCTCTTCACACTGTGAGCTGAAACTGTGCTTCTCACCTGGCATTTGTCATTAGTTCCCTATAACACTGTAGAGTATGGTTTTATCATGTACAAAGCCCCGTGGTTATTCCACAGCACCACACATATAAACAGGGGCAGCCAAAGAGAGGGATAAGTGAGCAAAGTGCTTTTGATGCAAGCATAAAGGCCTGGGTTCAGATTCCAGGACCCCTGAGTGTGGTGGCATGCACATCTAATCCCATGTGAGTTTCAGGTTCAATAAGAGACCTTGTCTCAAAAAATGAGGAGGAAGGCTGTGGAGACAGCTCAGTGATTAAAGGTGAGGTGATTGAAGGTGAAGACCTGAGTTCAAGTCCTCAACACACCTGGGAGAAGAAGAGACCTAACTCCTCAAAATTGTCATCTGACCTTCACATGCACACACACACAAACACACACAAACACACACCATGGCACCTCAGCCTATACACATGCACACACACATAAGCACAGAACACAGGAACACACACATTCATAAATGTCTGCGGAAACTGCCATGAGAAAGCCCAAACAAGCTCCTAATGGACGAATATCAAACAATTTGAACAACAAACTAAATTACACAATATTGGAATGTATTATAATTGTGAAGTCACCTATAAACCCATGCTGGCATGAATGGTTCCATGGCAGATAAATGAATATGGATGAATGTCAGTGTTCCTACATCTCACAGAAGAATCCTGAGGCTCTGTAGATGTTCCTCCTGGGAGTTAACTTCCCTTCAGTCCTTCAGTGTGAGCTACATGTTCTCAAGAAACTAGCACGGTGGGCTTCGGGGACAGGCCAGTCAGTGAAGCACCTGCTGAATGTGCTCACTTGAGTCCATGAGTTTCAGCCCTCAGAACCTGTGAGGACAGCCAGGTACTAAGTTCCCCCTGGTAACTCCAGCACTAGAGAGTCCACTGCTGGGCTCACTGGCCAGCCCATCTAGCCAAATTAGCAAGCCCCATGGTCAGAAAGAGGCCCTATTTCAAAAAATATAAGGTGATCTCAGCTGTAAAGAGGAACCAGATTCTCTTCCAGCACACACAGGGCAGCTAACTGCCGTCTGTAACTCCAAATCTAGAGGATCCAGTGCTCTCCTGTGACCTCCACAGGGAAATCAAACATGACTGCATTAGACACTCATGCAGGCACAATCCACATACACATAAAATTAAATAAAATGTCAAAACTAGCAAGTACATATGCATGTATATGGATGTACACGAACACATATGATACATATGCACACATATCTACATGCTATTGAGCAACTGAAGGCACCTCACTGTCTTTCCCTGGCTACCATTGCATACACATATGTTTGCCATGTGTCTTAGTTAAGATTACTGTTGCTGTGATAAGACACCATGACCAAAAACAGAGTAGTGTGGGGTCACCCAGCAGTAGACACTTGCTTAGCCACACTATGCCCTTGTCACCATTCCCAACCCTGTACAGAAGAGAAAAGTCCCCAGTGGGCACATTCTAAAGGCTTCTGCAGCCATTGACATGTAAGGTCATACAAACAGAGACCAGTGGACTCAGGAGAGAGCTCACAATTAGATCCTAGAACTTGGCACCTAATTGCCCAAACAGTAACCTGGTTTAAATCCTGTTTGGCTCAGCTAGCCAGTAAAAGTCAAAGGCTTAGGCCTCTCTAAGTCTTCAGCAAATTTCATTCTGTCATGGAGTGATGTACAGAAAGTGACAGTCAAGTGCCCTTTACAACAAACTACTTAATTCTGACTTATCAAAACACTTACGATCTTTACTTTTATATCAGCCAAATTACATAAACACAAACACTTATATAACAGAGGCAGGGGCTGGGGGTGGAGGGAGTTTGAGCCCAAGCCTGAATTATGTGGAAAGATAGTGTTGCACATTTTTTAAAGTGTCTTATTTATAAACTTAAAAGAAATGAGAAAGCCCTTTGGCCAGTCTAAAGAGAATCTGTAAAGACTTCCTATGTGGTAAACCTGGCAGAGAGAAAGACCCTGCTCTCCTGAGCCTTTAGACATCTAAAGAACACCAAAAGGCAGCCAGTGCAAGAGGAGCTAGGGGAGAGGAAGCAGGGTTTAGAGTCTTCCCTATGGTGGAGGTCAGGTGTGTTCTTATACACAAGGGATCTGTGTGCACTGCAGGGTTGTAATCTGTGTTGTGTTGCTATGACAAAAGACCCAAAACTAGGTAATGCATATGGAAAGAAGTTAATTTGCTTCATGGTCTGGAATCTTGAAAGTCCAGGATAGAGTAACCTCAGGTAGCCACAGCCTTGTGCTGTCTGAACACAGGGTGCACAGCAGAAGGGCAACAGAGGATTGTGGAAGACAGAGAGCAGAGGCTCCACCCTGCTTCTCAAGCACCCACCATATAATGCTCAGGGCCACCTCACAAGGAACCAAGGCTCAATGTGGGTGTTTGGTGGATGCCCTAGACATGTTGAAATCATAGCAGGCTCTCCCTTTGATGTGTTGGTTTTTGATGCAGTCTGGGGATTTAGGTGACCAATCTCCCAGGTGAAGGGAGACTTGGGACATACTTATGGAGAAATGATCTCCTACTTCATACAGAGACACTGCAAATGACAAACATGCTAGGTAAATGGTAAATTCCAGGTTTAGGTGCACACAGAACAGTCAGGTGACTGTCAAAGTCCAAAGAAATGAGGTCAATACATGGTACTTCCCATGTGTGATCCCCACTTGTGGGAAACCAAGGCAGGTATGCCCCAGTTATCTGTCTGGATCCCCTTCATCACAAAGATAGAAATTGTGCTTGGGTAGGGGGTGCTATCTGGGGCAGGCTTCAGCCTCTTCTTTGTCCTCCATGTTTGGCAACCATGAGCAGAAGCTGGCTATAAATAAAATATATATTTTAACTAGCCTCTGTAAAAGACACAAAGACTTAGAATTTTATTTGAAGATCTATAAGCCTGGATTTGGCACAGACTTGGTATATTATGTGAAGAGCTGTAAGCCTGGATTGGACAGGTTCTGTCCTAATTTAATTATATCCAATCCATAGGCCCCATGTTATTGTTCTTTAACTGTACCCCAGGCTTGTTTCTGCTCCATCAGCCTGTCCTCATGTCCACTTCTCCTGTTCATGTGCTCTTGAACCATCAGGCCTATTGGTAGCCTTCTCCTCTCTCTATCTTCTTTCTCCTCTCTCTCCTTTTCTCTTGCCCTCTAATCCCTACCTGTGACCCCCAGCCCAGAAAAAAATGCCCAGGATACCTCTCTTCTCTCCAGTATTAGATGGCAGCCACATTTTTTTAAAACAAACCAGAGAATAAAATGAGCAGAGTTGACAAAGCAACATTTGGTGTATGGGAGAATTTGCTTACCAGATTACCAAAGAATCAAAGGGTGGGGAGCGTCCAGATCCTGAGGTCCAGTACTTAGCATTTGAATACAGCAGGAAAAGATTAACCCCAACAGCTGGCAGATGGTAGAGGCAGCAGTGCTACCCTCTGGAGAGCATTCCTCACACTAGCATGGGACCCAGAGGCCTAGCTATGCTGCAGATTCCTCCACAGCATGGACAGGGAGCCGAGCCTCCCTGGCATTCTGCAGTGAGGGGGCTCTAGACCCTGCTGGAGTCTCCAGAGACTGCACAGCTCCCTAGATTACTTCTGGAAATAGGCCCTAAATGTTCTATCCTCTGGATCCCTTTTCTCCTTCTTCAGAGTCTGCCTCTGCCCTCTCTTCATTCCATGACCCTACTGTCTCCTGCCCTTCCCCTGTCCAATGCTTCAACCACCACATGACAGCAAGGCGCTTGGCCTGTTTCACAGCTCAACCTGCTGACCACTCAGCCTTCGCACCCCTGCCTCAGCCTTTGCTGTCTCCTCCATTGCAGTCTGTTCAGCCCACACTCCTGATAGCAGGACAAGTAAAAGACTGCTCAACAGAACCCTTTCATGAGAACAAAATGGCTATACCAGAGGGGACAGATCCAGTGTGTCACCTGGCTGAGTGAATGGGTTTAAGCAGTCTGCTTTCAGAGTCGGGAGAAGAAGGGAGTCTACCACAGCCTTGCCACTTCACACCCTTCACAACAGTCCCTTGCTGCTCACCTGCAGTGGGAGATGTTCCCTCTCTGACCCAGGTAGAGATGAGTGAAGGGTCATCTGGAATTCTGTGGTAGCAAAGCACAGCTAGACACCCTGGAACAAGTGGCTGAAGCAGAACCTTCAGGAGCTGAGAAACCAGCTGACATTTGACTAGTTTCTCTAGAGTAGCTGTGGAATATTCAAAATGGCCATCCTACTGGCTTTTTGACCAGTAGTCAGAGTAGCTAAAGCAGCAACGCATAGTCTGGCAGTGGCCACTTAGGGGATCAGGTGTCTCCAAACGGAAATGCTCTTGCTTAGTTATGAGACAATGAACACAAGGCACTTGCGGTGTGAACTTAATAAACACACTAATGATGGTTATTAACAGTGTCTTGCTGTGTAATTCTGGCTAACCTGGAACTCTCTGTGTAGACCAGGCTGACCTCTAACTCACAGAGACCAGCCTGCCTCTGTCTCCTAAGAGCTGGGATCAAAGGTGAGGGTCACCAGAGCTGGCCTTTGCTAACAGATTTTGACAGTGCTTACCACCAGCCCCACGGAAAGCTGGATCTACCACACAAACACAAAAGCATACACACACATATACACAAACACACACACACCCCTTTCTCAGGAGGATTATGAGCTCAAAACCAACCTGGGCAAGATCCTGCCTCAAAAAAAAAAATTTTTCAACCAGGGGTTAAGAGGTCAAGGTTAGGCAAATTCGGTAGTGCTTGGCTTTAATTCCAGCACTCACATGGGAGAGAGGCACGGAGACCTCTGTCAGTTCAAGGCTAACATGGTCTACTTAGTTCCAGCACAGCCAGGGCTGTGTAGAGAGAACCTATCTCAAAAGCAAAACAAAACAAAACAAAACAAAACAAAACAAACAACAGCAAAAAGGTCAAATTGAAGAACACCTACAACAGCAGGAGAAGCTTGGGTTCAGAGACTGGTTCAAGGGAAGCCACGGAGCAAATAAAGGATATGGGCAGGACAAAGACAGGGCAGGGGTCACAATGGTCAGTGGTCTGAGATCTGGTTGTCTAGACACTGACTGTGAGTAAGGCTCTTAACTAAACATTGAGGTCCCCAGTGTGACAGGGGGACACAGGCCTCACTGTGGAGATCTGACCGAGAAGCCACTTGACCCTCTCCCTAGTCATCTTTTCCTTTCACTGTCAAACGACATGTGACCTTAGGAAGATCACTAAGAAGGGGACCAGGCTGAGCCAGGTTGTTGACCATGATCTTGCCAAAATACATACCTCCCAATGACGCAAACAAAGGGCCTCAGGAAGTTCCAAGACACGTGCGATGGGAGGTGCCTGGAGAGGCACCTCCACTCTCTCCACTGAGCAGCTCAGGGCAGTTATAAAAGGGCACCAAGCTGGGTAGGAACACCTGCCACCATTACCATGAAGCTCACTGGTGCTCTGGTGCTCGTTGGGGCCACCCTGCTCCTGACTTCAGGCGGAGGTGGGTATTACCGTGTGGGGGTCAGCGATGCAGGCTCTCCAGGCTCTCACACCCTCCATCCAGTGGGTGTGCTGATGCCTGTCTTTCAGGTTAGTATCACCTTGTCTTTGTGTTCCAGATTGTGGCATCTGCCCAGTTATAAAACAGGATGTTGCTCTATTTCTTCACGGGACCCCAGAAGAGTATGTTGAGTACGTGAAAAAATACAAAGATAACCCTGAAATACTGGAAAATACGGAAAAAATCAAAAGATGTGTCGACAACAGTTTGACAGAGGAAGACAAGGAACATGCAAGCGCTTTTGTCGTGAGTCTCTTTGTGTTTGGCTAGGGGCAGGGCTTGTGCTCCTCCCCACCACTGAAGCTTCTCTGAGAATCCAGAAATGTGACACACCTGATGAGGATGTCAGCAGGATGGGGCAGGAAGGGACTCTCAGACTGGATGAGCTTGGCCTGGCTGCTCAGCTCAGGCTAGCCACACTAGATCCCTGACCTCCATTATCCTTCCTGACACAGCCTCCCACGTGTAGCTGCAAATGCTCAGGGCCTGGCACCTTCTCCAGCCTGGATCTTTATCCTAACTTTTCAAGCCTACCGCCCCAGCCCCACAACACTCATCTGTTCTCCTGTTCTCTGCACCTCCAAGGCCACTGTGTGGACGCCAGGCCTAGACATCAAGGACTTTAAAGTGAACCCCTTCTTGTCCCTAGAACTAGTAGTGTCAGTCATTGCCTCAGCTGCAGGTGTCTGAGGGTCATCATCATCATGTGACAGGAGTCAGTTCCTTTGTGGGGCACCAGCTGCCCACAGGCTCACCAGAAGCCCCTTCTGTCCCACTTCTGCCTATGAGGTCTCACAAGCTGGCTCCTTCCATCTGTCTGGATTGGAGGCTTTTTACAGACCTTGTCTCAACAGGTTATAGGCAAGGCTCCCTTGCCCTGGTCAGACCCAAGAGCAACTGCAGAACCAGCTGCAGGTCCTTCCAGGAGGTGTCCCCATGAATAGTCAATGGTCAATAGTCTCCTTTACCTCTGAGGCCTGACTTTGCCTTCTCTTTGCAGGAAAAAATAGATGTCAGCTCAATATGTTGATGGGTTCATCTTTGCTGTCAAGGAAGCCACTTGCCTGCTCACCAGCATAGATGCAGGAAGCCCTACCCCTCCCCCCCCCCAGGTGTCTAAAAACAGGAATCAAACAATAAAAGCCTTGCAATTCACAGGGGAGCCTGGATTTTTGGATTCGAGGTTGGGTCTGATTGGGTGGAAGAATATTGCAGAGACAACCAGTGGGACTTTGATCTACCACAGCTCAATTGTGGTGCTGCCAAAATGTCTTAGCATAAGTCAATGCTAAGAGACCATAGTCACTACACCAGAGTGTCTGTCACTTTGATGGGACAGGGTCCACAGGGCACATACATGGCCTCCCAGACTGAACTCCCCAGGAACATGGAACCCAGTAAGACCAGGGACACCAAGGATCTGTTGAGGACCACACAGGCTCTAAGTAGCAGAATCTGTCCCTATACCCCAGTGTTTGGGACATGAGCCAGTTGTGCAGTGTGTGTGTATGTGCATGTGAATCTGGGCCTCTGTGCTTCTCTGGGCCTCTGTGTCCCATTTAGAAGACAAAAATAAACTACCTATCTCCAAGGCTATCATGAGGCTTCCCACCCTTCACAGAGAACTGAAATTCAGCCTGGAAATCCATGTGGGACCTGGCCAGAACCAGAACTCAGTTTATTCTAATATCAAGTACCCAGTTCTGAACCCAGTTAGTTTCCTACTGGGTGTTACTTGAAGTGGAGACCCAGGGTCCTGAAGCTTTAGGACCTGTCCTGTAGTTCTGCTCTGTGGACATGTCTGGAAGTCCTTTCTCACATCAGTCATCAAATAGTTGCCTTGAGGCCAGTCCTAAGCCCCTGTGCCTTACTGCTCCACCAATGAGCCATGTCCTCACATGGGTCTCAGGCGCACATCACCAGGCATACCCAGAAGAATATATACAGGTCCCTCATGATGCTGAGGTTTATGGAAGGCCCAGCAGGTCCAGGCTCTCTCGTTATAGTGCATGCTCTGAAAAAAGTAAAGTGTATTATTCTTTTTGAATGCTGTGAAAAGATAACCATGGCTGAGTATTTATAAAGAAAAACTGCTGGGCAGTGGTGGTACACGCCTTTAATCCCAGCACTTGGGAGGCAGAGGCAGGCAGATTGCTGAGTTCGAGGCCAGCCTGGTCTACAGAGTGAGTTCCAGGACAGCCAGGGCTACACAGAGAAACACTGTCTCGAAAAACAAAACAAAAAAAAATGAAGGAGGAGGAGGAGGAGGAGGAGGAGGAGGAGGAGGAGGAGGAGAAGGAAAGAAAGAAAGAAAGAAAGAAAGAAAGAAAGAAAGAAAGAAAGAAGAGGAAGAGGAAGAGGAAGAGGAAGAGGAAGGAGGAGGAGGAGGAGGAGGAGGAGGAGGAGGAGGAGGAGGAGGAGGCAGCAAAAGAAAAACTAATTATTTTGAAGGCTCCAGGTCCAAAGTCCTGCTGCCTCAATTTTTAGCCTCTGTCAAGGACCACCTCACCATCAGAGAGACAGAAAACAGCAAGACTCACTTGGCCTCCCACTGTGTGGGTTATCTCCAGCACTCACCCAGGGGACCTACTCACCCAGTCTGTAGCAATTGTCCCTTCCCAGGGAAACACCCCAGAGACCTAATCACCTTTCCAGTTGTCTCCTGCTTCTCAATCACATCATCTCTTGAGACCCTACAGTGGGAACTAAGTTTTCAGCACCTGAACTCCTAGGGGACACAAGGAACCAGGTTCAAACCAAACAGCACATGAGGAGGCCATCTTGCGTAGACTGGAGCCTGATGTCTGTGACCCAGGCCTCCAACTCACCAGTGTCTAGCCACAGCTTGTTTCTGAAGAGAGGCCTCCTGCCTTCTGGGAGCTAAGGGTGGTCTATGGACTATGAAGATGCTGTGACCTAACTTTCCTTGCTATACATATGGGACACAGGAGGCTGTTCTACCATGTTTCTTTCTACAGATTTAAAAACAAACCCTGAACCTCTCAATCTGGTGCACAGCTCTACTTGGTTAACTGGGATTTCTTTAAATGCTAATGGCTTTTATGTATACTTTCATGAAGGGTATTCGTCTACGAATAAGTACATTGTTGGATGAGGTAACCCTGGCTTCCCAGAAACAGAAGCTTCTTCTCTCCACTCATTGAAAAAGTTTAACACTAGTGAAATATTGTCCTAACACACATGAATGGACAATGTTCGTTTCCACCATAGAAAGGTGTTTATCCTCACTTCCTATTCCTTGACTGTTGGGACTGCAGTGATGTTCTTGTTTTCATTCCTGATGTTATTTGATATTTCCCATTTTAATCTTTTCTTCATTTTGCTTTTGACAGGATCTCACTATATAGACTAGGCTGGGCCCAAAGTTGGAGAGAGCTGCCTTCCTCCATCCCATTGTTGTAGGATGGGACCATGACACACACATTTAAATTCTTCTCCCTCTTCCTCTTCATCTTCCTCTTGTTTTCTTTCTTTTTTTCTCTCTTTTTCTTCTTTTGAGTTACTTTTTTACTATTTAGTCCTGTCTAGCCTTGAGCTTGCTGTGTAGCTCAGGCTGGCCTTGAACTCACTAAGATTCACATGCATTTACCTCATGAGTGCTTGGATTAAAGGCCTTCACTCATTTGATCAGCTTCTCTTTTAATAAATTGATCAAGCTTACTACGGTTTTATCAGTGTTATGAACATAGAGTCCACAGAGGAAACTCACTTGGCACCAAGGACTCAATAGGACCAGGAAACATAGTAGGAGCTCACACTTGTCCTACAAACAAAAACTTGCTCCAAGGAATGGGACATCCTGATTAGCAGGAAGTAGACAAACTATAAGATCATCCCATTTCAAAACCCTGACTTTACTTGGGGATGTCTTCTTTTCTCTCTCCTTTTTTCCCTCTTCTCTAGTGTTATAGGGTTGTAACGGTGGAAGAAGATGACGGGGGAAAAGAGGAATAAAGAAGAACCCACAAAGTAGCAAAAGATAGTGATGCCCACCCTGGAGAGCTAAGGCAGAATGGGAACTGTGATTTCAAATGCAGTAGAGAAAGAAGCGGGTGATGAAGGGATGGATTTTTTCTCAAGACACCATTAAAAATTTATTGTAGCCACAACTACTGGGACACTTCCCACTCTGCTCCCAGAGTGAATTTTCTGTTTTTTAGTTTTTCTTCCTCCTAAATCTGTGTCAAAAAAGATTGGGAGAATGCTTGTGCAACTGGAAAAATTGCTGGTGGAAATGGGGGTGGGGTCTGAGAAACAAAAAATGGCTAAAATGGGAAAACAAAAGGGTGCACTCTGCTCTGTCCTTTCTGAAAGGGTGTTCTGTCCCTGGGCACAGAACAAATAGTGCTCTGCCGACTTTACAGTTTTTGAATGTTATGAGAAAGGAACAACAGCCTCCAAGAGACAGTGAGTTATACAAAAGACTGTGGAATTAAATCATCCTATATACAGTAAGGATGTGTTTACATCAGAATGAAAATCCTCAAAAGTTTTGCACTGGGGACAAAGATTTGCTTATATCTCTTCACGAAATGGAAATCTTTGCATGCCATCAAAACTCATAAAGATTAGAATTGAGCAGGGGGTGTCTCCTGAAACCTTGGCCACTAAACCCAAAAAGTACTTATTTCAGTGAAAATGTTTCTGCTTATAATTTCCTTCTAAGCATGGTGCAACTAGTGGCTTAAAACACATACAGGGAAATGTAGTGAGAATTTTGGAATTTTGGGTTCTTTAAAAAACACAGAAATATTACGGGATTGTGGATTCGTTTTAATCCCAAGTATAGGATACAGAGAGGGAGAGCTTCAGATTTTCCACAGTAGCTGACTATGATTTGCCTCACGCTGTAGCATGGTAGCATGGGAACAATTTTGCCAGCTGTGAATAGTTTCTGTGATTTGTACTGTGTGTAATTCCGGGGACTTTTTTAAAAGCTATAAAAATGCTATGGCCCTGAGAGGGATTATTGGTTGGTTGCTTTTGGTTGTGGTTTGTTAAGTAGTCATTCGAAAAATAGAGACAACAAGAAGAAATTAGATATCCTCACAGCAAATATCAAAGTTTCCCCAAAGAACTCAATGCCCAAATCAGCAAGAAGTAGTCTAATCTCAATGTCATCAGTTTCTGACACCTGACTTTATTCAAGGATCTCTTTCCTGTCTATCCTTTTCTTTTCTTTTTTTTTGTTTTTGTTTTTGTTTTTTCGAGACAGGGTTTCTCTGTGTAGCCCTGGCTGTCCTGGAACT